CTGCGGGTGGGGACACTTGTCGCCGGACGGGGCGCAGCGCACAGCCGCGCCGAGGTGTGTGCGTGCACGTCGGGATTCCCATCCGGAGCAGGCAGCACCGAGGGGCGTTCGGGGCGGCGGTGTGGACGGAGCCCCCCGGAGTGCCGCCGGCCCGCCTTTTAGACAGCTCCCTGGGCTGGGTCCGCCCCAGCCCCCTTCCTCCCGAGGGCCCTCCGCCTGTTCCCGCTGCAGCTTGTACACATTTTCCGATTTCCTGCGAGCCTCCGCCCTGCCGCGGCAGCTCGGTGACTCAGGACCCCGGCGGCCGGGCCCCCAGCTCCATGGGATCTTTGTTCGCTCCGGCCTTTGGCTCGGGCCCTCCTAGGGCGGTCAAAGGATTTCCTGAGCCTCGCCCTTGGCCTCCGACGGCCTGGCTGGGGAGCCCAGCTGAGGTCTGGAGTGGGGGCGGGGGCCTCCGAGGCTGGGGTTGCCAACCCTTCAGTGGGCTCAGGAGATGGAAGGCAGAGAGGTAAGATGGGGTCCCTGTAAGCGTCCATGTTGGGGTGCCTCTTGGTTACCCTGGCCAGAGGTCACCTTCGGCACTGGCGGGTTGAAATGTTGGCTTCTGGAAGGACGTTTTTCTCTTCCTGGCTGCCATCTGGGGTGAAGCAGCGAGAAAACCTTTTTTTATCCTAATTTTTTTTTTTTTTGAGTCGGAGATTTCGCTGTCGCCCAGGGTGGAGGCAAAGTCACGGCTCACCACAGCCTCAGCCTCCTGGGCTCAGGCTATCCTCCTGCTTCCCAAGTACCTGGGACTACAGGCATGCACCACCACACCCGGCTGAGAAAGCCTTGCTACTCTACTTCCTCTCAAGAGTTCAACTGACAGTAGGCATCCAGGGACCTTGCTAGTCCCTCCATGTGCCTCTGCTTTGCCTCCTGTGGCATTGGGGTGTCAGGGGAACAAGCCCTGGTCTCATAGGCCTTGTCCATGTGACTTTGCGTGAATCCTTTCTCAGCTGGGAGCTTTTTCTGGCTCCCAGATTCTACCTGGGTTCAGTCTTAGAGCAGCCCAATTACCTGTGGTTGGCAAGCAGAGCTGGGGCCCAAGAGGTGGTGGTTTCTCTTTTGTGTCATGACTGGACAGGTCACTTCAGCTCTCTGGGTCTCAGCCTCCTCCTCTATGAAACTGCTCCTCCCTGGGAGGACTGCTGGGAAGAGTAATGCAGTGATATACACAGAGCTCTTAGAACCGAACCCGGCCCCATAAGCTCTTTGTAAGCGTTAGCAATTTCCTCCTCGGCCTTTTCTCTGAGTGGCAGTGGCTTGGAGCAGGGGCTAGATGAGTAGATGAGTGGCCTTGGTGGTTTTTTTTGTTTGTTTTTGAGTTGGAGTCTCACTCTGTCACCCAGGCTGGAGTGCAGTGGCCGCTCCCGGCCACCGCAGCCTCGACCTGCTGGGCTCCGGCGATCTTTCCGTCTCA